CTGGCATCTAGTGTGTAAAGACCAGGGTTGCTTTTAAAGACCTCACCATGTGTAGACAGTCCTCTCACTCAAAAGGTGAGAGAATAGGGGAATCTCATTGATAATGTTTGGGAAAAAATTTGGGGGGAAAATGTTCTTTGAAAAATGCACACAGACACATGTGTCACCTCCTCTTCTGCAGATCCTCCAAGCATGGGAGTTTCTGAAGGGGTCAAAGGAATCCTAGAGGGGCAGCAAGCAACCTGGCTATCGGGCCATCCGGGGGTACTGGACTGCAGAGTCAGCACCTTGCTCAGTCAGGTCACCTAAAACAATTCATCAGGGAGGAGCCGATGTTGGATGGATTTTCTTTGCGGGAGGAGAGTTTATTTCCATATACTGAGCTTTCTCTACTAGTGTAGAAGTAGCACCCACAATCAGGACACAGAGATCTCAAGAAAGGAGCAAGGGGTCTTGTCTGTTTCTAATCAAGCTGAAAAAATACCATTTCAGCCAAAAGCAAGCACTTACATGGAAAGTAAGAATTTGGAGAGGTCAACAGGGCTGGGCCTAGCTGCTGTGGGGTGACACTGAATTTATAAACACGGCCAAAGCGTGCTGGCACCTAGAGGGGGTAAGCATTAAATGGCACCCAGGGGGAGAACACAGGGTGAAAGTGTGTGTGGAAAATAATTTCTCCATCAGGAATAGGAGTCTTCCCCATACTCACCAGAGTACTTATCAGTAAGGTGAGCCAACTGTCTTCCCTGAAAATCTTTGCAGACTTGAGGGACACCTCTTGATCAGCAGTCCTGAGAGAGGACAAGGACAGAGTTCCCATAACCCGCAGGGATTTCTTTTCACCAGAGGGTTTGGCAAGACTGTGACAGGTTTAAAATAACAAAGTCAACACTGAAAATTCACTTTATTATGTTTTGATTTCACAGAAAATGCAGACTTGTAAATAACAATAGTTCTTTGTAACAATCTGCGTGACACTTTTATTAGCTCATGGAAGTGGGAGGCTTGGTTAAACAGGAATCATGTGAGTATCAGGGAAAAAAAGCTATAGAGTTGGAACAACGATGATTTAGAAAAATAATAATCATGTTGGGCTTTGCAAACCACCTGTCTGTCACCTTGCTGATCGCCTGAAAAATGTAAAGAACATTCTCATGGATGAGTGAAAGTTTTCTCTGTGTAGGTAAGGGGAAGGTCAAGGTGAGCCCGCCTCTGTGAGCTTATACCAGCGGATGGTTTTTCCAGAAGGTCAGCACAGACCCGACAAAAGCGATTTACCAGCTTCGGAACTGGCGCGGTTTATTTGCGAAGAGTACGCTTCTCGCTCTGCAGATAAGGAAACCCAGGTTGAAGCACAGTAAACAGACACAAGAGAATGGTTCTGGCCGACTGGGCAGCTCTCCGGGCCTGTATCTGGAGAGCAGGCAAGAGGGGACACGGATGTTCTTCAGCTGAGACCACACCAGCCCCAGGCCAGCCTTTAATAAATGAGAAATAATAATAAGATCTGGGCCTGGAAACGCTGGCGAGGACAAGCACACGCGGTCATGTCGCCTGTCGCCGGGGTGGGGGTGGGGGCCCTGCTTTAGGTTTTGTAGACTTGATGTAGGATTCCTTAATAAATTAATCAGGCGGAGAAATGTCAATGGGAGGCTAGATTTTTCTGACTTTAAAGGGAGTACCCTTTGAAAAAGAAACGTGATGCCTGATGTGTTCAGGCTTCGTGATAAACCCAATAGAAAGGAACATGGTTACGACGATCGAGAAGGCCTCTTGAAACGAAGCATGGCAGCTGGGTATGGGGACGTGAGCGGGGCCTGCACCTCTGGGCCCCTGAGGTCCTGGGAGGGGCCGGGGAAGCCACAGCAGGAGGAAGCGCAGCGGTGACCCTGCAAGAGCGGGGGAAGCAACTCTTCACCACGGCCAAGCTCAGCCCAGCGTCGCCAACGGCCACCTGGCCCTTCCCGGTCAGTCCTCTCCCGTCCTCCAGCCCGGGTCCGAATGCACGGCCGTTTGACACATCCTTCGGGGCCGCTCCTTCCATTCTGGAGAAATCCGTATTACGCCAGGGCCCCCATCCTGGGGGTGCCGAGAGCCCAGCTGGCCGTGCTCACAGCACTTGGGGTTTTGGGCTGGAGCTTTCATGTGAGAGGCTGCCCAAGATGCAGCCGGGATGCCCCTTGCCAAGCATGCTCACAGGATACCAAGGTCAGTCCAGCCCAGCCTTGCCAAGCGCGGCCCAAGGTAGGCAGGCAAACTGACCGAGAAGACAACTCGCTGGCTGAGACTCAGAGTCACGGGCAGATTACATCGTTATCGTAGAAGACTCTACTAAGTCAAGATCTCGTATTGTGTCACAACTGTTTCAGCTATTGCAGAACCTTAATGGGCATCCTTGTGGGCCTAGAAAGCTTGGTTTTATCATAAGATTTTCATTGAGAAGGAATTTGTAGGGGATCTGAACCGAATGGATTCTTTCATTTTGTTTTGCGTAAATTGTGCCATAACATTCCCTTACGGACTTCAGGTATCCAGAGTCTCGTGGATCTTAGAATTACGGAATACTGATCCTCAACCAAACCCTAAAGAAAATAAGTTTGAAATGGTCTTCACCTGTTTTTTAATATTTTTTTCCAAATAGTGGAGATTTCCTCTTTCAGAAGTAAAAGCAGATAAAAATACTTCACTCTGTGATTACACCCTCCCTAACGGCCACAGCCACTGGCACTTGAGCGGGCTGTCATGGTCTCCCACAGTCTCCTACGTGGGTTTCTGCAGGGATATGCCTCGTGCCCTTGCCCCTTATGCCTCTCAGCATGAAATGAAAGTCAGATCAAAACATCCCAGGAATTAAAAGAAATAATGACCATCTCCTTTGGAAGCTAAAGCTACTTAGAATCCGCTTGGGTTAACTCTGAGACAAACCAGATAAAGTGCTTGGCTTTCCCGACTCCTCTGCTGGCGATGGGACTTGGGGGCGATGCCAGATAACTGCAGGGACCTCTGCCCCTCTTGGCCTCCGCTTTCCCCAGATGCACACGGAAGGGAGCCAAGATGCCCTCTTTGATCCTTCCCATTTCTAGAGACACCCGCAGATTTATGATGTCACAGCACATCCAGCAGGTAGGAGGGCAAGCAGGTGGCTTGGGGACCACCGTGCGAGCCCCTGCATCCCCCAGAGGCGTCCACAGGCAGCTTCCATGTAACCAGGACGGCCCACCTGCCGGCCACCCCCTCGCCCCCGAAGGCCCACGCGGAGCTCAGGGCCACTGTGTCCCGCTCCGCTGTTCCCACCCTCTGAATCCATAGACTCAAAAAGAGGAAAGAGCTACTTTGGAAAAATCAGATGAAAAAATTGGGGGGTTTGGGAATGAAGGGAAGGGGATGAAATCTGCCATTTTTATGAGGGTGAGGAGGCGAGCATCAGTGATGACCAAGAACTCCAGCGGGCAGCTGTCAGAGAAGGTCGGCGTAGCCGCCCTGCCGCAGAGCAAGGACAGAGGAACTGGGGCAGGCTGTCCCCGAACGAGCGTCAGCCACTGGTCACCAGATGCACAGAAGGAAGCGTCCCGTGAGTAAATGGGAAGAGGCCACATGGAGAAGCAGAACCTAATTGTACCAGGGGACGGGGTGAGAAGTATCTTCGGTTATTTTGTCCTTCTTTCGCTTACAGCAGCCTCTCCGCCTCCCCTGGACATCACCTCCTGGGCCCGAAATCACCGTAATCACCGCCGGGCCCCTTAAATACAGCCTCCAAATACCATTTGTTTGTAACATGATACACTCGGGTTGCCAACTCTCCAAGCAAGGCTGTGTGTCATTTGCTCGGGGCTAGGGCATCCTGTCACCTCGTCAGCCCCGGATGAGCACAGTTCAACGTGACAGCTCTTTGAAATGTGCTCGAAGGGCGATGGGTACGAGCGGGGGCTCCTCGGCACATGCGGCCAACGCGTGCTGGGCGCCTGCTTACGGTGGAGGCCGCCCAGGCTGCTGGGTCCCCGGTCGTGTCATCCGAAACGTTTGCTTTCTCAAAGCCACTTCAACTGCAAAACTCCATGGGCCGCATGCGTCATACCAGATATGAATTGTATTGCCCCCTCTTGTACCTCATCTGTACAGGCCCGTCTTCTGATATTCCACTAACTTACTTTCCTCCATTGCCCGCCCCCTCTTGCCCCAATAGGTACATTATCCTGCCAGACGATCCATCTTCTTTTAAATTCTCTTCAGGTCCTAGGTAAGAAGGGAGTCTCACTCCCTAAAGCTTGATATCAGGGGGGCACAGTAATGCAAAGCAATCACTTTCTGAGGCTCTTGCTACCGTAGGGACTCCAAACTGTACCAAAGGACAACAGTCCCATCCTGTCACATCAGATTGTAACACGGCAGTAAATGCCTTGAAAAATATGCGTGTTAAACCTCAAGTTCATTGAAAGCCATCCTTCTCCAGGCGTTACCAGCTGCCCCTGGGGGTCGGGGGAGGGGGGAGGGAGGGCTGTGAAAAAAAAAATCACTTGATCAGGCAAGAGCCTTGCTTGGTCTTCTCGAGATTTAAAGTTAATTCGGTGGCAGCTAGTCCTGCTGTCTTCACCCTCCAGAGAGAAGTACAGAATTTCTGAACTGCGAGCATTTATTGTGAGACCCAGGAAAAGCTCCTTCGGGATGCTCTTCCCCCTCTGGTCGACTGCTCTAGAGGAGGGAACGTCCAGGCGGGTGGCGATGGGGTTCAGGCCCCTCCGTGCCCCTGCCCCCGCGTGGCAGTGCTGACCAGGAGGAGGGGTGCACCGGGGGCTGGAAGCAGGGAGGGGAAGGCATCTTTATGGGCAGCACGTGGCCCCAGGCCCGGGGCCCCCGGGGGTGGGGGGCCTCTGTCGAGACAAAGGTCACGTGCCTTAGGACAAGTCTCCCCCAGAAAACCCAAAGGCGCCGTGTCCTTGCAGATCCAGAGGAGTCCTTGCGGGAGGGAGGGAGGGAGGGCGGCGGTGGGGCCTCCGCCCGGGTCATGTGGGAGCCGCCCAGTCGGCGCTCGTGGGGGCCTTGCACGTGTGCACGTCTAGGGCCTCCAGGCAGTCCTGACAGCGCACGGCGCAGCACCAGTGGAACTTACACTCACACTTGGTCATCCGTGTGACGCGGGACGTGTCGTAGCCTCTCCCGCAGCACATGACCTCGCAGCTGTCCATGCCGCGGGAAGTCAGGTTGCACACGCGGCCCGCCGTCCCCGGGGAGCCTGGAAGACAAGCCAGGGAGGGGTCACTGAGCCGGTGGGCGTGGGGTACCAGGTCTGCCTCGGCAGGAGGGCAGTCCTTGGGCCGGGCCCCACACAGCACAGCCCCAGGCCGCGGCCCCCCGGGGTCTGCGGTCCCCAGGTACCCACTGTGACCCAGGTGGCCATCCCCAGGCCTTGGCCCCCATGGGGTCTGTGGTCCCCAGGCGCCCACCATGGCCCAGGTGGTAGTCCCCAGGCTGTGCCCCGCCCCCCGGGTCAGTGGTCCCCAGGTGTTCACTGTGGCCCGGGTGGCTGTCCCCAGGCCTTGGCCCCTGCGGGGTCTGCAGTCCCCAGGTGCCCACCGTGGCCCGGGTGGCCGTCCCCAGGCTGTGGCCCGCCCCCCGCCCCGGGGTCTGCGGTCCTCAGGTGCCCACCATGGCCCAGGTGGCCGTCCTCAGGCTGCGGCCCCCCCAGGGTCTGCGGTCCCCAGGTACCCACCGTGGCCTGGCCTCCCCAGGGTCTGTGGTCCCCAGGTGCCCACCATGGCCCGGGTGGCAGTCCCCAGAGGCCGAGTCCAGGAGAGTCCAGCTCCTGAGCTGGATAAACGTGTGGGCCGATCCCTACCAGCCGGGGCTGGTGCGGTGCCGAATGGGCAAGGCCGGGTCCAAAAGAAAGAATGACGGGCCCTGGCTCCCTCTCACCTGCCGCCAAACCACGTCCAGGACGCAGGGACGCGGGTGAGCGCTCCAGCATTGTCACGGCGCGGAACCCGCAAGGGGAGGGTTCTCTCTTCCAGGCCTGACTCGGCTGCCTTCTTAGCAAGAGGAGAGGACCTGGCTGCTGGCGGGGGTGGGGGGGTGGGGGGGCATCGCCGCCCTCCGAGCTGCCGCCGGGGGGCACCCAGAGGTGTGCTGGCCTTCAGCCAGCGGGACTCAGACAGAAACCTCCTGGGAACGACCAGGGGCGCCTGCGTGGCAGTTCGTCTTTATGTGTCTGTCCCTGAAGAAGACTCTCCGAGGTAGGATGCCTCTCCACTTGGTCTAGTCCTGGGGAAGCGCCCAGAACTCCGCTGCGGGAGCTACTGCACCCAGAAGCACAGGGAGCGGGGCCTTCGTGGAGTTTGCTCAGCTTGCAAGGATCCTTCCTGCTTCTTCCTCTGGCGCAGAAACGGGCCCCTGGCAGCCACGGTGAGCATCATCACGCTGCTGTGATGATGTCACCGGCGGGTGACAGCCTGGGCGTGGGGCACCTGGCCCATGCTGGGCCGGGCAGGGAGACTTCCCTGGGGATTTGCGGGCTTGATGGGGCCGGGCAGTGTCACCAAATACACACGTGGTAGCCACCGGCAGCCGCACACCGTGATGAAGTGTGCGGGCGAGGGGAGGCCTCCGGACAGGTAAGAATGGGGCAGGTGGGCAGAGACAGCCAGGATGACAGGGCAAGAGGATGCTGCTCCAATCTGGGACCATCTTCCTCGAGCTGCTTCCATTGGTCCCCGAGGCCCGGCTGCATTGCAACCTTTGGGGTCCTGGAGAGCCTGTATCCTTAGGACAAATCCCCCCTTTGAGCTGACACCGCTCCAGTTTCTATTACTTGCAATTGACAATCCTAAATACTTGACAAACCAAGAGAAGCTAAACTCATTATTTAAAATAATAATAATAATAATAATAATCGTATGTCAGGATGGAAAAGACAGTGACTTCATTCATTTTCAGTCCCTCTATCATTGACTGAGGAATTTCTCCTGCTTCCTCACTCCTGTCTCGTGACTGTCCCTCTGTTTATCACAACCCGAACCGTGTTTCAATTATCTGCCTAAATGTCACGTTGCCCTGCGGGTCAGGAATGACCCGGGAAGCAGCCGGGTTGCAGCAGGGCGCGGGGTCGAGGAGAAGAGGGGGGCAGCCCGAGCTCGTTCTGCATGACCAGGGCACCGAGAGCAGGAAGAGCGGCAGGGATTTCACCATGACAGGAAGGATGGCGAAGGGCTGCGGTCGGGGTGGAGGGTGGGTCAGCCAGGGGAGGCCAGGAGCCTCCCTCGTGCTACAGCTGCAGGGAGCCTGAGTGGCAGCGTCAGGGCACCCGGGAGCTCGAAACTACCGTCTGTACGAGGAGGACTCCCCACTCCCGACGGCGCCTCTTCACAGCACACCCCTTAGCTCATCCTGCAGACATGTAATCAACGCGGACAGAGATGCTGCTGTTCGGTGGCTTAGAGAGTTGGGTCTAGAGTTTTGCAAGATGCGGTGGCGGCGGAGAAATGAAGTAATTAGAATTCACTTCCTATTCTCGGAGAACTCGTGATATAATGAAGGGATTAACATGCAAGGAGGCATCTCCACTCCTTGAGCCGTGCCAGTGCGGGGAAGGCTTTCCGGAACCTCTAGGAGAGCTCTGTACAAAGCACCGCAGCAGACAAAGCTCAACGACGGTGGGATGAGGTTTCTTAGAGCTCGGACAGGTCAGGGGTCAAGTCCGAGCTTTGGGGTCTAGCCCCTGGGTGACCTCGGGCACGCTGTTTAATCTCATTAGGCATCAGTTCCTTACCTGGCGAAATGGGGACAAAACCGGTCCCTTCCTCACAGGGCAGGGGTGAGGAGGGGGTGAGATCATGTGGGAAAAGCAGCTGGCGTGAGAAGGCCTCAGGGGACGCGGCCCTTCCATTCCGTTAGGCAGTGTTGGGGGGGTGCATGCTACATGCTAAGCACGCTGGGGGGCGGGGAGGCTCGGGATGTATCAGAGCAAAGTCAAGATCCTGGCCTTTGGAGCTCGTGATCTAGAGGGAGTGAGCCAAGCCCGTGAAAGTAATGATAACTTTGCTCTCGATAAGGATATAGCAGCAAGCGGGGTCAGACAAGCCGCTGTTGCCAGCACAATTTCACGGAGGTGGCATCAGAGATCGGGCGTAGGGGGTAAGCAGAAGACGTGGAGGGAAAATGGGGCGAAAGGCATCCTGGCAGGCGTCCCGAGCCCACTGGCGAGGCTGCAGAGCCCGCGTAGGAGACAGGGGCTCGGAAGGGGAGTTGGAGCGCAGGTGTCGGGCCTTCCTGCCTTGCTGCAATTGGGTTTTCATGCCACAGTGAGTGGGGAGCCTGTTCAGGCTTTTGCTCAGCAGAAACCTCGTGGGAACGAGAAGCCCAAAACAGCTCCCTGGGGCTGGGGGTAGAGGGGGGTATCCCTGAGGGCTAGATTGGTCCAGGCGGGAGAGATAATGAGTGTGGGATGAACACGTGTGGGGTTAGAGGGGAAAATCACTAGGGCTCGGGGACTTGCTGAATTGCAGGGACGGGGTCGAGGAGGAAAAGACTGGAGAGTGTTGACTTGGCCCAACAGTAAAGAGGTCACGGGTGCCTCTGATGAGAGCCGCTCCCGAAGAGCCACAGGACGGCGCCGGGGGTCGTGGAGCGAGGGGGACGCCCGGGCAGAGAGACGCCGCCAGGGTCCCAGAGCGTGGCCGGTGTTCAAGCAGCTTGGTGACAAAGCAGAGGAAAGAAGGTGGCTGCAGGGAGCCATGAGGCCCGAGGTGGGACTTGAAGGCTATTTTAGGCTGCGAGGTTTCCTGGTGGTTTGCTATGCAGCAGCAGACATGGGGCACAGGCCGGTGGGTTTTAATTACATAAAGTACAAGAGTGGGAAAAAGCAGCCTGTGCCATCCCAGGTCACCGACTTCCCTCGGGGAATACTGAGGAGGGGCATGAAGGAGGCCTCTGGAAGGCTGGTCCTCGTCGGGTCTTGGTCTGGGGAGAGATGGGACGGGTCTGGTCACCTGAGTGGTCCGTGAGACACGTGCACTTTCCTGCATGTGTTTTGTGTTCCAGGAACGAGAAGAAGAGGGAGGAGGCCGCATATGCAAAACCAGCAAAACTGTGACACGGGAGGAGCGGGAAGGTTTTGACGTGGCTGGGACGCAGCCTTCCCAGGGATGAGTGCGGGAGGTGAGGCTGGAGACGTCGGCAGAAGCCAAGACGCGGAAGGCCCTGCGTAATAGGGGAAGGCACCGAAACTTTAACCCAAGGACCACGGGGTGCTCCGGAGGGTTTTTACACAAGGGGGGGGGCAGGATGGATTTACATTCACAAGGGCCTGCTGCGGGTTCTGGCATCGGATGGATTGAACCGAGCCGGGGTAAAGGCAAGGGGCCAAGTTAGGGATCAGTGAAGTGCCCTGGGCAGGGCCCAGGGTGACCCCGGGACAAGGACAGTGGCGGTGGGCGTGGGGGTGGGACAGGTTAAAGGGCTCGGGGAGGGTGTGGAGGAGGCAGGATGGGCAGGACGCGGAGGCTGAGCGTCAGGAAGTGCTCCCAGGCGTCTGGCTCAAGCGACTGGGTTTATGCTGGTGACCTTCCTCGGGGTGGGAGCCCCTGGGGACGGGCTGGCTTTGAGCTGAGATACTGAGTTTTGTTTTCAATATGTTGACTTTGTGGTGACAGTGGGTCGTCCAGGTAGAAGCTGAGTCCACCGAAAATGCTGTCTGGGACTCTGGAGAGGGGTCAGCATGGAGACGCAGAGTAGGAAATCTTTACCCCGGAGGTGGCCACGGAAGCCGTGGTGCCACCAAGACAGACCCCCAGCGATGTGCAAAAGCGCCGTCACCTGCCACCTTAGAGGCCGCTCCGAATCGTCACCTTTTTGTGCTTTGTCCATAAGCCCTGCACACCCACGAGCGCTCTTCGCTTCCATCAATACGCATTTGTCAAAATACGAATACATGCGACGAGAATCCTCTCTCCCCGCTGGGGCTGTGAGGTGGGCGTGGGGGGTGCCCGGGGACGGGGGTGAAGCGTCTCATTCCCAGATCAGGCTGCGGGCGTCTTACCGACATCGCACCCGGGGACGTCCCCACAGGGGCCCGACGCCTGCGGAGGTCCTGAGCCGGTGGTGGGTGGTGTGACCCAGCTGCAGGGATGCTTGGGGGCGGTTTCTGTCTCTCAGATGCGGAAAAACTGAACCAGACTCTGTCTGAACAGGAGGGGTGCTCAGGGAAGTGACCTCAACACTGTCAAAACTCAGAGAAAAGCG